CAGATAGTTGTCTTCCAAATTTCTTGGCATAGATGAGTGAGTGCCTACAGTGCCACCTCATTTTGTTGAAATATTTCAATTTGTATGTGTGTGAAAGTAGTTAATCACAAAAGGACAAATATTGTATGAGACCAATGTTGTAAAAAGTTTTATTGCTAGAGAAACAATCTATGATGATTACAGGTGGGTAATGAGGGAAATTTATTCACGGGCTAGAGGGTAAACACATGTTAACATGGGTGACAGGGCAGGCAATATACACCAAGAGGGAGATTAGCGAGGAAAGCTAAAGGTAGCAGGAGACATAGGGAGGAATGCAATAGAGGTACTGTTAACTGTTGGTACATGAAAGAGATTGTAAACATGCAATGAAGCAAAGTACATGATTTGTTGAATATAAAACAGATAATTTGCTCTTTAAAACTTCACTCAATTTACAGTAAAAAGTTGAAGAAAAAAAAAAAGATGTATAGCCTAGGAAACCCTACATAAGGTGGTTATAAGTAAAAATAGACTTGTTGACCATGGGTCTTTTAGAAGATATTATAATCATTTTATGCCATTATATTTGAAAATACAGATGAAATGGACAAACTCCTTTAAAAATGGTGGTGGTGATGGCAGTTGTGTGCCAACGAGTCAGTTCCAATTCATAGAAACTCTGTTTAGGGTTTCTGAGGATGTAAATCCTTATGGGAGCAGAAAGCTTCATCTTTTTCCTGAGGAGTTATTGGTAGATTTGAACTACTGACCTTATGGTTAGCAGCCCAGCTCATAATCCACTATGCTACCAGGGTTCCTTTCCTTAAAAAGCACAATTTAACCTAATCTGAAACAGTAAAGTTTAGAAAATGCCAATAGACCGATAAACAAGAATTAAGTTCATAATTTAAATTTTTACTGCATAGACAACTCAAAGCACAGAGATCTTTACCAATGACTTATTCTAAACATTTAAGAAAGAATTAAAATCCATCTTCTGCAAATTCTTCCAAAGAGGATGAAAAGAGAAAATACTTTGGAACTCATTTTATAAAGCCAACATAAGCCTGATGCAAAAAAAAAAAAAAAAAAACCTGACAAAAAATTTAGAATAAATGAAAATTATAAGCCCATCTCACTCATGAGCATATATGTAAACATCTTAAAACAGAATATTAACAAGCCAAATCCAACAGTATATAAAAAGGATAATGCATCACAAGTTGGCAAGATTCATTTAGCACTCAGAAATCTGTGTAATTCACACATTAATAAAGAAGAAAATGCATCATGATCACAATAGTTAAAAAGCATTTGATAAACTTCTGTGCTTCCTGATAAAAACAGAAACAGAAGGCAATGTGTTGACCCAATAAAGGAAATCTACAAATCTACATCAGTGCAGTTGTTACCTGGTAAAGGGGCAACATGGAGGCTTTTGGAGTAATGTTTTATTTCTTGATTTGGTTAGTGGCTACAGAGTGTACCATAAATTTAATTTATGATAATTAAAAGGTCCACTTATGAGTTGGATACTTTACAGTGTGCTTATTACACTCTACTTTTAAAGGTTGTAAAATAAATTTACAAGGAAAAAAAATGGGAATTTTCCTTCCTGAAGATCTCTGGAAGGTTGAGGGTGTGCCTGGGGGCTGTGGGAACTGAGAAGGTTGAGACACAGAACTCAGAGGAGAAGAGAGGGGAGAAACCATAGAAGAGAATGGTTATACCTGTGGATGTTGGATGTTGATGTGATCCAGTGCAGTGCTGTGTGATGAGGAAGAACCTGGTGTGATGTCATTGTTACTGGTTTGGCAGTTGAGATGTAGTTATTCTCAGAATGAGATCTTTTAAAACATAATTAACTCTATGATGAGGTCTAGTATGAGCAGCTAGTCAATTAAAAGGAAGTTTCCTCAGGGTTGTGTCCTGCTTTCAATGAATAGACACTCAGGCAAAGCTAGCTTCCTCTCTGCTGGGTCTGCATCTTCCATCAGGCTCGCCCTCTGACCTCTATTCTTTGGACTTGAGCCGGTGAGCTGCTGCTCTTCTGCCTGCCTGCCTGCCTGCTCTCCAACCTGTCGAACTTGGTTCTGACCCAAACTTTGGACTCTCCCACCTCTACAATTGTGGCTACAACAATGATATAAACCATTTCCTTAATGCAACTTCTCTTTATATATACATCTATAAGTTTCACTGGGTTTGCTTCTCTAGAAAACCCAACCTAAGACACCTGGTGAACAGGGCTGAGGGCGCTAACATTTTAGTTACAGAGGGGAAAGTTACACACAAATCTGGAACAAAAAAACCTAAGTCAGTACCAGTGGGACAAATATTTTAGTAGGCATGGAATTCAATACCTGGATTTTCTCAAAGTGCAGTGTTCTAAAACGAGACAGCAAGGAGGATCTTTAATGAGATGGGGTTGACTAAGTGTCTGCAAGAATGGACTCAATCATAGGAAAGATTGTTAGGCTGGATCAGGACCAAGCAGTGTTTCATTCTGTTGACTATAGAGTCATTATGAGTCAGAACAGACTTGGCAGAACCTAACAATTTAGGGGCTTTAATGCTATGAGTCGATGGCAATGAGTTTGGCTTTGGTTTGTTTTTATCTTAAGTTTTTCATTATTAAGTTTCATGAGGTATATATCAACACCATGAAATAATCATATTCACACCCTGAACAATAAAACGAGGCAACACTCTTTATTCTTGAACCATTTTTCAGTTGGCCATAATTCCCACAAGGATTCTGGAAAGTTATTAACATTATTTTGTATTGGTGGTGATAGTTATGTGCCATGAGTCGGTTCCGACTCATAGCGACCCTGTACAGGGTTTCCGAGCCTGTAAATCTTTACAGGAGCAGAAAGACACATGTTTCTCCTGAGGAACAGCTGGTAGTTTCGAACTGCTGACTTTACGGTTCGCAGGCCAAACTACACTACCAGAGCTCCTTTACTGCTGCCTGAGTCACAGCCAGGCTTCACACCACTTGGAAACTCTGTCCAGATGTGGTGTTGAGAGAAGCGGTTGTGCTGGTGGCCAGTCCAAATGGCGGTACCTCAGTTGATCATCTGTTTAACGCAGTAGTACAATAGGGAAAACTTAGCTCTTGACCAGTGTTGTTGTACGTACTAAATAAAAACTTGGGACATCATAGGTGTTTTATACATTTTTCTTCTTCCTCTCCCCCAACACGACATCGCGATCTCTTCTCCTAGGATATCAAATCTAGGAAACCCAAGAGCTTGCCACCACCGCATTATCAAGTAAGGCTGAAAATAACCTTTCAGCAGCCGGGCGGCATGAATAGAAGCCGGCTGGCATCTCAGTGCGCATGTCCTAGGTCAGCTGTTCTCACGTGTGGTCCTGGGGGTTGTCTTTTTAGCGAGATCATTTAGTGGGTCTTCGGGATCAAAACTGTACCCAAGAGTGCTAAGTCAATTATTTCCCTTTTCCACTCTCCTGCTCACATTGGTATATATAGTTCACTTTTCCAGAGGCTACCCTGAGTAGCGTAGTAGTTACGAATCGGACTGTGAACTGCAAGGTCAGCAGTTCGAAACTACCAGCTGCTCCGCGGGAGAAAGAAGAGGCGTTTTGCTCCTGTAAAGATTTACAGCCTCGGAAACCCTGTTCAGGATCGCTATGAGTCGGAACCGACTCGATGGCACTTTAACAACCACCACCCTAAGTACAATGAAACCGTCACCCAATGGCTACGATTATGTGCTACAAAATCGTGTTTTTAAGTGTCCAGTCGATTCCGACTCATAGCGACCCTGTAGAGGGCAGCCTGTGTTTAATTTGGCATTACTAGACCCGAGGACAAGAAGTTGGAGACCTATTGCAACGCAGACGTGCCAACCGCGCGACCACATACTCCAAATAATTAAGGGGGAGGCACTTCCGGCCAGGCCGGTCCGCCAGCAGCCACGCCAGCAGAGCCCCTCGCCGGAAGTCTCCTCTGGGCGACGCCCCGCCCCGCCCCGGCTCCTTGCCCCGCCTCTCGCGCCTTCTGGTCGCCGGGGGCTAGTGCGGAACCCGGAGTGGGCGAGCAGGCTTCCTCCCTGCAACGGGCAGCGGCAGCGGTCCCGGCCCCGGCTCACTCTTCCTGTCGCTGGGAGCGGCGGGCCGACCAACGGGCGGCCAGAGCCAGCGGCCGCCATTCCCGTGTCGTTGCGCCCGCGGGGGCCGCCCGAGCCGGCCACGATGCCGCTGGGCCTTAAGCCCACCTGCAGCGTCTGCAAGACCACGTCGTCCTCGATGTGGAAGAAGGGCCCGCAGGGGGAGATTCTCTGCCACCACTGCACGGGCCGGGGCGGCGCGGGCGGCGGGGGCGCCGGTTCGGGGGCGGCCGGCGGGACTGGGGGCGGCGGCGGCAGCAGCGGCTTCGGCGCGGCGGCCTTCGCCAGCACCTCGGCCGCCCCTCCGCAGAGCAACGGGGGCGGGGGCGGCAAGCAGGTGAGCTCCCCCGGCCCCTCCCGCCGGCGGAGGCCGACCTGGGCGCGAGGTGGACGGAAGCCAGGCCGACGGGGAGGGGGCGGTGGTCGGGGCCTTCCCGGATCGCGATGCCCCCGCAGGGCCGGGCCGCCCCCTTCACACCCCCAGATGAAAAGACCTTCATTGGTATTGCCTATTTTAAATATTTTTTCTTACTGTGAAAAATTCAAAGTATAAAGAAGCAAGAAAAGCAAAATCCCTGCAGAAATCCCCCCACTGTAATAATATTGGGGGGAGCATCCAGACATCTCAATCTACACAGAGACAAAAACGAGGTCGTGCTGTGTATGTTGGATGTCCTGAACGTCTTTCTCTGTTAATAAAGGCTATGTTGTTAGTATATCATGGCTTTGAGTATGATTGTTGTATCATTGTTTTAAGTAGAAGTATAAATACCGCTTTGTAGAAGGTACCATAACTTAACCTGTTCTCAAGCTTTGGAGAGTAAATTGTTAAAAGAGTTTTTCTCTATTATAAACACTACAAATGAATAGTTTTTGCTTTGGGCTAGATTTACTTCTGCCCCCTGTCGCTTTGCAAGCAATTATCATCACCCTTTTGGTGATTCCTAAACTCTGGAAATGTTTGCCTAGGGCACTTCTGCCTCTGTTGATCCAGTTTTTGTAATTACCCTGGTTGGTGGTGGTTGTTTTTTTTTAAAGGAAGAAGAATGTTTGTAATTTTCAAATGTCGTTGTAAAATACATACTTTGGGATTCTTGTAAGATGGTTGTGTTGGTGTAGCAAGCCTTGTGTAGTTTTTCTTATTCTTTGTTCTTTATTTTTGCCACAGAGTAAGCAGGAAATTCACAGGAGGTCAGCTCGGCTCAGAAATACTAAATACAAATCTGCTCCAGCTGCTGAAAAGAAAGTTTCCACAAAAGGAAAAGGGAGAAGACATATTTTTAAATTAAAAAATGTAAGATAATTCTGGAGAGTTTCATTTATAGTGTGTAGTGTGTCCTACATTTTTCACCCTTGAACTCTGACACTACTTTTGGGTTCCTTTCTGCAGAATTTTGGGGAGTGGCCCAGACTCCCTAGGTAGGAGTAAGGAAGGAGATCAACTGTTTTGTTTATAAAAAGTTAACAGTGACATTGTCTCTTTTGATTGCTTTTATTTTTTTCCCCTGGAAAATGTAAAATACAGTCTTCAATGAAATATAAACCTTTTTGTTGGTTTCATCTTAGTTTGGGATATAGCTAGGTACACAAGAAAAACTTTTTTCATTCTTTAAAGACTTTGATGGTGTTGGTGGTTAGTTAGTTCCAACTCACAGAGACCTTGTATAGCAGGAGTGGGGAACTGGACTACAGCAGCCCTTAGGTTGTATGTTTTGGTGAGTTTGGAACCACCTTCTTTGCGATTCAAACCAACTTTGTTGTTAAGCGCTGTTGAGTTGGTTCAGTCCTTGAGTTGGTTCGGTCCCATAGCAACCCAGGTTAGGGTTTCCTAGGAGCAGCTCATGAGCTTGAACCGCCGACCTTGCAGTTCAAACAACTTTGCAGTCCAGCGCATTAACACACAGCACCACACTGGGACTCTTCAGGCTGTATATTGTTGTTGTGATGTGCCATGGAGTCGGTTCTGACTCATAGC